AAAAACGTATCCTTCGAACCGGATTCGAACCAGTGACCTATGGATGTCTGCTTTAAGAACCAACTACAGTCCACCGCTCTACCAACTGAGCTATCGAAGGAGCTGGAGAAGTTGAGAACTGAGTAATGAAAGTCACGCTTACACCTGGAGCGTTGGTGTACCAAATGCCAGTGTTGGAGTGGTGGTGCAAATATGCTCGTAGTTTTTATATTGCTTTTATACGGTCTGTTGTTGATTATTATGCCTTGCATTTTTTAATTTTTCTCCTAAACATCTACAAGGACTAGATGTAGTACAGAATGATGCCATGCGCATCATCCTGGGCTGTCCTAGAACTGTCAGAATTGTTAACATGAGAAAGGAACTAAACTTACTTCCATTTACAAAAGAATAGTTCCACTTAGTACTATGTTTTGAGCCAAAACTTTGAAAAATAATGATCCCCCCAGCTCTATTTAAATTCATTTGAGATCCATTCTAAACAATTCTGACTGTTCCCTCAAACCGCCGCAAAAAGCTCCTTACAGTGTGTGGCTCAAGTGTTGTGACTATAATCTTCCGAAACTGAATGTGTCTCTTAATCCTGATAACACTGTTCATTATATTCCCCCTTGGAAAGATGTGCAGGTCTCTTTGCATTATACTCCCATCAGTGTAAATCAAATGTATAACCCTGAAACTATGAGATGTTAGAAGCTATTGACAGTCATTTTCAAAATATCAAACCGACTGAATCCTACGCCTTTATTGATGGCTCTGTGCAGTTAGGCACTGGTAGAACAGGTTGTGCATGTGCAGTGTATAAAGGGAATGAAATGATCATGTCTAGAACACAGAGACTGAACAACTGGGTAAGCACGACACTAACTGAGTTATTGGGTATTTATCTAGCCACTGAGTACCTTAAGCTCAATGGTGGTGGAGTGATATTCTGTGACTCTAAAAGTGCTCTGCTGTCCTTAAATAACCCATCACAATGTATGTCGGAAGTAGCTTGTAATATTAAATGGAATGGAATTTTTGCCAATAATAATAACTATGGTATAAAATTTGTGTGGATCCCATCCCATGTTGGAGTTGGAAAACATGACTTTGTGGATCGATTGGCCAATGAGGCTTGCAGGAAAGAAAACATTGATTATGACTTTGGACTATCTAAGGCAATTATTAGAAGCATACAAATTAAAGAAATTAATTCAGATTTAGAAGAACAAAGAAATGCCCAGAGACCTGGAAGCTGCAGTATTAAAAGTTATGACAAGTTCTGTAATAATAGGTATTTGTATGGTCAGCACAGTAACCGGACCAGGCAATGTGATGTAGTCATTGCGCGAATTCGCCTTGGCGATAGGCACATCTGGCAGGTTAGTGAGGCTGAGCCACTACCAGAATATTCAGATTGTAAACTCTGTGATAAACCTTTAATGCATTCACTAGAACACTATATTGATGAATGTGAAACCGTAAAAGACTTTAGACCTCCTGGCCTATTGTACCACCAACTGTGTAACTATTTCATTGACTCAGGTGTTCTGGACGACATCCTAACAATTCATCCAAAATTTGCTTGTCCATTTTAAAGAATGAAGAACAAATTTATGTATATTACTTCTACGCTGCATCACTTATGAACCCATCCCTGCCCTTGTGTGGCAGTGCTCAATAGAAAGTTGTTTTCACATATCCATACATTAAAACATTGATTGTAACCATGATATATATGTGCTTCAGCCTACAGTTTAGACCTATTGTCTTATGTATGACCCTCTGTCCTGCGTGACAGTGAATACCAGCATTATCCTCACTTTAATAAGGCTTAATTGAAATCCTCAGTTTAGGCAAAATTGTAATTAATTTTGTTAATAAAGATGTTAATATTAATAATAATAATGTGTTGCAAGAAACTGTAGGTATAAATCCAGGTGTAGTTCTTGAACCAAGGGGCACACGGTGTGGCTTCTGTACCAAGGGGCACACGGTGTGGCTTCTGTACCAAGGGGCACACGGTGTGGCTTCTGTACCAAGGGGCACACGGTGTGGCTTCTGTACCAAGGGGCACACGGTGTGGCTTCTGTACCAAGGGGCACACGGTGTGGCTTCTGTACCAAGGGGCACATGGTGTGGCTTCTGTACCAAGGGGCACACGGTGTGGCTTCTGTACCAAGGGGGGGCCTGACAGCTGAGTAGACAGCGCTTCGGATTTGTAGTCCTGAGGTTTCGAGTTCGATCCCCGGTGGAGGCGGAGACAAATGGGCAAAATGTTTCCCTCACCCTGATGCCTGTTACCTAGCAGTAAATAGGTACCTGGGAGTTAGACAGCTGCTACGGGCTGCTTCCTGGGGGTGTGTAACAAAAAAGTCATGGTCGAGGACCGGGCCGCTGGGACGCTAAGCCCTGAAATCATCTCAAGATAACCTCGATAGGGGGTACACGGTGTGGCTACTGTGCCAAGTGGCACACGGTGTGGCTTTTGCATCCTGGGAGATGGAGACTCAGTATCACTGCTACCTTATTCACTCTTGTGTTCATGATATCCTCATAATGCACCCAAATATGTAAATAATAAAAACTTATCATTTTATAAAAGGTCTTAGGCACCAACTATCATCGTTTAACCAGCCAAGACAAACGTACCAGTCGCCTTGATAATGACATGTTTCTTTGCACGAAACATGCAGATAACGAAGTATTTCCGATGATGCAACAGTGTTGTTCTCACTGTCTTAACAACACAGCGTTCACTGCACCGTGAAGCCATGACCACCTAAGATCATGGCTAGATAGCTGGATTCAGGTAATTGAAACAAAATCGTATCCTTCGAACCGGATTCGAACCAGTGACCTATGGATGTCTGCTTTAAGAACCAACTACAGTCCACCGCTCTACCAACTGAGCTATCGAAGGAGCTGGAGAAGTTGAGAAGTGAGTTATGAAAGTCACGCTTACACCTGGAGCGTTGGTGTACCAAATGCCAGTAGTCAACTAATTGGACTCACCTAATTGTGCTTGCGGGGGTTGAGCTTTGGCTCTTTGGTCCCGCCTCTCACCTGTCAATCAACTGGTGTACAGATTCCTGAGCCTACTGGGCTCTATCATGTCTACATTTGAAACTGTGTATGGAGTCAGCCTTCACCACATCACTGCCTAATGCATTCCATTAACTACTCTGACACTGAAAAAAATTCTTTCTAACGTCTCTGTGGCTCATCTGGGTACTAAGTTTCCACCTGTGTCCTCTTGTTCGTGTTCCATCCGTGCTGAAGAGTTTGTCTTTGTCCACCCTGTCAATTCCCCTGAGAATTTTGTAGGTGGTTATCATGTCTCCCCTTACTCTTCTGTTTTCCAGGGAGGTGCGGTTCAGCTCCTTTAGCCTTTCCTCGTAGCTCATTCCTCCCAGTTCCGGGACGAGCCTGGTGGCATACCGCTGAATCTTCTCTAACTTTGTCTTGTGTTTACCTGTTGGAGTGGTGTTGCAAGAAACTGTAGGTGTGACTCCAGGTGTGGTTCCTGAGCCAAGGGTCACACGGTGTGGCTTCTGTGACAAGGGGCACACGGTGTGGCTTCTGTGTCAAGGGGGCACACAGTATAGCTTCTTCATTCTGCGAGATGGAGACTCATTATCACTGCGACCTTATTCACTCTTGTGTTCATGATATCCTCATAATGCACACAGAATCTGCCAGTGCAGACTACTTATCACATGCCTCTGTATGACTGTGTGATGGGGATTTTTAGCATCACGTAGCAAGTTTTGACACACTGAATTCCCCTTCATATAGTCTAAGGTACCTACACAAATGCAGATGTACCTAATGAATTATTAAAAAAAAGGAGACAGTAGGAACCTCATACTACCAATTATAAATGACCTAATCGCTGCACAGAGTAAAGGGTTTCGAATCTCTTTTGAATGGATATCATCTCACACAAATATAACGCATCATAATGAGACAGATATTGCAGCCAAATTAGTGTGTAACAAAGATATAGTTGAATTAGATCCCGCTCTCTGCTGTAAAAACTATATTGTTCTCAAACACTCAGGTCTGATAGGGAAGAAATTACCGATTCCCAACGACCTGAAAGCACCAGTATAAAAAGCTATGATTTGTTCAGATCTGCAACCTATATTTATGGGCAGCACAAAACGTCCACCAGACTGTGCGACACAGTGGTTGCCAGGATCAGGTTGGGTTTCCGTTACCTGTGGCAGGTGGCTACAGGTGACGGATCTCTCAATCCTGAGAACTCCAGGTGCAAACTATGTGAGGAGGAACTGCGGCATAATCTCCCACACTATATCACTGAATGCCCAGTTATTAGACCATTCAGACCCGTTAGCATGAGGTACCTGGAGCTTTGCAATTTTTCTATTCACTCTCGTGTTCTTGAGGATATCCTCATATTGCACCCAAAATTTGCCAGTGCAGACTCCTGATCACATGGCTCTGTATGACTAACCATCCTGCGAGATGGGGACTTTTAGTTTCACTGCTGCCTTATTCACTCTTGTGTTGATGATATCCACATAATGCACCCAGAGTCTGCCTGTGCAGACTGCTTATCACATGCCTCTGTATGACTAACCATCCTGTGTGATGAGAATATTTAGCATCTCGTAGCTAGTTTTGACACACACTGTACTCCCCTTCAAATAGTCTAAGGAAGCTGCACAAATGAAGATGTACCTAAATATGTAAATAATTAAAAACTTATCATTTGTTAAGGTGTCTTAGGCACCACCTGTCATAGTTTAACCAGCCAAGACAAACGTACCAGTCGCCTTGATAATGATATATTTCTTTGCACAAAACATGCAGATAACGAAGTATTTCCCATGATGCAACAGTGTTGTTCTCACTGTCTTAACAACACAGCGTTCACTGCACCGTGAAGCTATAACCACCTAAGATCATGGCTAGATAACTGGATTCAGGTAATCGAAACAAAAACGTATCCTTCGAACCGGATTCGAACCAGTGACCTATGGATGTCTGCTTTAAGAACCAACTACAGTCCACCGCTCTACCAACTGAGCTATCGAAGGAGCTGGAGAAGCTGAGAACTGAGTAATGAAAGTCACGCTTACACCTGGAGCGTTGGTGTACCAAATGTCAGTGTTGGAGTGGTGGTGCAAGAAACTGTAGGTGTGACTCCAGGTGTGGTTCCTGAGCCTTGGGTCACATGGTGTGGCTTTTGTGACAAGAGGCACACGGTGTGGCCTCTGTGGCAAGGGGCACACGGTGTGGCTTCTGTGACAAGGGGCACACGGTGTGGCTTCTGTGACAAGGGGCACACGGTGAGGCCTCTGTGACAAGGGGCACACGGTGTGGCTTCTGTGACAAGGGGCACATGGTGTGGCTTCTGTGACAAGGGGCACACGGTGAGGCCTCTGTGACAAGGGGCACACGGTGTGGCTTCTGTGCCAAGGGGCACAAGTTGTGGTTTCTGTACCAAGGGGCACATGGTGTGGCTTCTGTGACAAGGGGCACATGGTGTGGCTTCTGTGACAAGGGGCACATGGTGTGGCTTCTGTGACAAGGGGCACACGGTGTGGCTTCTGTGACAAGGGGCACATGGTGTGGCTTCTGTGACAAGGGGCACATGGTGTGGCTTCTGTGACAAGGGGCACATGGTGTGGCTTCTGTGACAAGGGGCACATGGTGTGGCTTCTGTGACAAGGGGCACATGGTGTGGCTTCTGTGACAAGGGGCACATGGTGTGGCTTCTGTGACAAGGGGCACACGGTGTGGCTTTTGTACCAAGGGGCACACGGTGTGACGTCTGTACCAAGGGGCACACGGTGTGGCTTCTGTGACAAGGGGCACATGGTGTGGCTTCTGTGACAAGGGGCACACGGTGTGGCTTCTGTGACAAGGGGCACATGGTGTGGCTTCTGTGACAAGGGGCACATGGTGTGGCTTCTGTGACAAGGGGCACATGGTGTGGCTTCTGTGCCAAGGGGCACATGGTGTGGCTTCTGTGACAAGGGGCACATGGTGTGGCTTCTGTGCCAAGGGGCACATGGTGTGGCTTCTGTGACAAGGGGCACACGGTGTGGCTTTTGTGCCAAGGGGCACACGGTGTGGCTTCTGTGCCAAGGGGCATATGGTGTGGCTTCTGTGCCAAGGGGCACATGGTGTGGCTTCTGTACCAATGGGCACATGGTGTGGCTTCTGTGACACGGGGGCACACGGTGTGACATTTCGATCCTGCGAGATGGAGACTCAGTATCACTGCTGCCTTATTCACTCTAGTGTTGATGATGATATCCTCATAATGCACCCAGAGTCTGCCAGTGCAGACTACTTGTCACATGCCTCTGTATGACTAACCATCCTGTGTGATGAGAATTTTTAGCATCACGTAGCTAGTTTTGACACACTGTACAACCCTTCCTATAGTCTAAGGTAGCTGCACAAATGCAGATGTACTTAATGTATTATTAAAAAAAAGAGACAGCAAGAACCTCATGCTACCAATTATAAATGACCTAATTGCTACACAGAATAAAGGGTTTTGAATCTCCTTTGTATGGATACCATCACACATATATAACCCATCATAATGAAACAGATATTGCAGCCAAATTTGCGTGTAACAAAGATAAAGTTGAATTAGACCTAGGTATCCTCGTCTTTGCTGTCAAAGCTATATTATTCCAAACACTCAGGTTTGTTAGGGAAGAAATTACTGACTCCCAATGACCTGAAATCACCAGTACAAAAGGCTATGATTTGTTCAGATCTGAAACCTATATCTATGGGCAGCACAAAACGTCCACCAGACTGTGCGACACAGTGGTTGCCAGGATCAGGTTGAGTTATCATTACCTGTGGCAGGTGGCAACAGGTGGTCGATTTCCCAATCCTGAGAACTCCGGCTGCAAACTGTGAGCAGGAACTGCGGCATGATCTCCCACACTATATCACCGAATGCCCAGTTATTAGACCATTCAGACCCGTTAGCATGAGGTACCTGGAGCTTTGCAATTACTTTATTCACTCTCGTGTTCTTGAGGATATCCTCATACTGCACCCAAAATTTGCCAATGCCGGCTACTGAACATATGGTTCTGTATGACTAACCATCCTGCGAGATGGGGACTTTTAGTTTCACTGCTACCTTATTCACTCTTGTGTTGATGATAATATCCTCATAATGCACCCAGAGTCTGCCAGTGCAGACTGCTTATCACATGTCTCTGTATGACTAACCATCCTGTGTGATGGGAATATTTAGCATCACGTAGCTAGTTTTGACACACACTGTACTCCCCTTCAAATAGTCTAAGGAAGCTGCACAAATGATGTACCTAAATATGTAAAAATAAAAAACTTATCATTTGTTAAGGTGTCTTAGGCACCACCTGTCATCGTTTAACCAGCCAAGACAAACGTACCAGTCGCCTTGATAATGACATATTTCTTTGCACGAAACATGCAGATAACGAAGTATTTCCCATGATGCAACAGTGTTGTTCTCACTGTCTTAACAACACAGCGTTCACTGCACCGTGAAGCCATGACCACCTAAGATCATGGCTAGATAACTGGATTCAGATAATCGAAACAAAAACGTATCCTTCGAACCGGATTCGAACCAGTGACCTATGGATGTCTGCTTTAAGAACCAACTACAGTCCACCGCTCTACCAACTGAGCTATCGAAGGAGCTGGAGAAGTTGAGAACTGAGTAATGAAAGTCACGCTTACACCTGGAGCGTTGGTGTACCAAATGCCAGTGTTGGAGTGGTGGTGCAAGAAACTGTAGGTGTGACTCCAGGTGTGGTTCCTGAGCCAAGGGGCACACGGTGTGGCTTCTGTACCAAGTGGCACACGATGTGGCTTCTATTCAAAGGGGCACATGTAGTGACTTCTGTACCAAGGGGAGGGGACACCTGTCAGCTGAGCGGACAGCGCCTCGGATTCGTAGTCCTTAGGTTCCGGGTTCGATCCCAAGAGGAGGTTACTTTACATTGAGGCCGCGTCCCCGTGGCCCGGTCGTCGACCAAGCCTCCTCGTTGCTGTTGGACGCGGCTGCTCGCAGCCTGACGTATGAGTCACAGCCTGGTTGATCAGGTATCCTTTGGAGGTATTTGTCAAGTTCTCTCCTGAACACTGTGAGGGGTCGGCCACTTATGCCCCTTATGTGAATTGGAAGCGTGTTGAACAGCCTCGGGCCTCTGATGTTGATAGAGTTCTCCCTCAGAGTACCTGTTGCACCTCTGTTTTTCAATGGGGTTATTCTGCACATCCTGTCATGCCTTCTGGTCATGGCAGGATGTGCCTTCTCTTCAGGCAGAGACAATGGGCAAAATTTTTCTTTTACCCTGATGCACCTGTTACCTAGCAGTAAATAGGTACCTCGGAATTAGACAGCTGCTACAAGCTGCTTCCTGGGGGGTGTGTGGTCCCCCAGGAAGGGGCCTGGTCGAGGATCGGGTCCCCGGGACGCTAAGCCCCGAAATAATCTCATGATAACCTCAAGGTATGGGGCACATAGTGTGGCTTCAGTGACAAAGGGCACACGGTGTTGCTTCTGTTACAAGGGGGCACATGGTGTGGCTTCTCTATGCTGCGAGATGGAGACTCAGTATCACTGCTACCTTAATTCACTCTTGTGTTCATGATATCCTCATAATGCACCCAGAGTCTGCCAGTGCAGACTACTTATCACATACCTCTGCATGACTAACCTTACTGTGTGATAGATATTTTTAGCATCACGTAGCTAACTTTTTGACACACTGTACTCCCTTGCATATAGTCTAGGGTAGCTTCATAAATACAGATGAACCTAATGTAATAAAAAAAAAGACAGCAAGACCCTCATACTACCAATTATAAATGACCTAATCGCTGCATAGAGTAAAGGGTTTCGAATCTCATTTGTATGAATGCCATCACACATATATAACCCATCATAATGAGACAGATATTGCAGCCAAATTAGCGTGTAACAAAGATAACGTTGAATTAGATCCCCCCTCTCTGCTGTCAAACTATATTGTTCCCAAACACTCAGGTCTGATAGGGAAGAAATGACTAACTCCCAACGACCTGAAAGCACCAGTATAAAAAGCTATGATTTGTTCAGATCTGAAGCCTATATATATGGGCAGCACAAAACGTCCACCAGACTGTGCGACACAGTGGTTGCCAGGATCAGGTTGGGTTTCCTTTACCTGTGGCAGGTGGCTACAGGTAATGGATCTCCCAATTCTGAGCACTCCAACTGTAAACTGTGAGCAGGAACTGCGGCATCTCCCACCTAAATGTACCTATTTATGGAAATAATAAAAAAAATATATTTTTAAGGTGTCTTAGGCACCACCTGTCATCGTTTAACCAGCCAAGACAAACGTACCAGTCCCCTTGATAATGACATATTTCTTTGCACGAAACATGCAGATAACGAAGTATTTCCCATGATGCAACAGTGTTGTTTTCACTGTCTTAACAACACAGCGTTCACTGCACCGTGAAGCTATGACCACCTAAGATCATCGCTAGATAACTGGATTCAGGTAATTGAAACAAAAACGTATCCTTCGAACCGGATTCGAACCAGTGACCTATGGATGTCTGCTTTAAGAACCAACTACAGTCCACCGCTCTACCAACTGAGCTATCGAAGGAGCTGGAGAAGTTGAGACCTGAGTAATGAAAGTCACGCTTACACCTGGAGCGTAGGTGTACCAAATGTCAGTGTTGGAGTGGTGGTGCATGAAACTGTAGGTGTGACTCCAGGTGTGATTCCTGAGCCTTGGGTCACATGGTGTGGCTTTTGTGACAAGGGGCACACGGTGTGGCCTCTGTAGCAAGGGGAACACGGTGTGACGTCTGTACCAAGGGGGCACACGGTGTGGCTTCAGTGACAAGGCACACGGTGTAGCTTCTGTACCAAAGGGCACACGGTGTAGCTTCTGTACCAAAGGGCACACGGTGTGGCTTCTGTACCAAGGAGCACATGGTGTGGCTTCTGTGACAAGGGGCACACAGTGTGGCTTCTCCACCTTGCGAGATGGAGATTCAGTATCACTGCTACCTTATTCACTCTTGTCTTCATGATATCCTCATATTGTTCCATTATTTTCCCAGGTACCTGTCAATCTGTCAGTGCAAACTACTTATCACATGTCTCAGCATTACTAACCATCCTGTGTGATGGGGATTTTTAGCATCATGTAGCTAGCTTTTTGACACACTGTTGTCCCCTTCATATAGTCTAGGGTAGCTTCACAAATGCAGATGTACCTCATGTATTAATAAAAAAAGACAGGAAGACCCTCATACTACCAATTATAAATGACCTAATCGCTGCATAGAGTAAAGGGTTTCGAATCTCCTTTGTATGAATGCCATCACACATATATAACCCATCATAATGAGGCAGATATTGCAGCCAAATTAGTGTGTAACAAAGATAACGTTGAATTAGATCCCGCTCTCTGCTGTCAAACTATATTGTTCCAAACACTCAGGTCTGATAGGGAAGAAATTACTGACTCCCAACGACCTGAAAGCACCCGTATAAAAAGCTATGATTTGTTCAGATCTATAGCCTATATATATATATATATATATATATATATATATATATATATATATATATATATATATATATATATATATATATATATATATATATATATATATATATATATATATGTACAGCAGACTATGCGACACAGTGATTGCCAGGATCAGGTTGGGTTACCGTTACCTGTGGCAGGTGGCTACAGGTGACGGATCTCCCAATCCTGAGAACTCCGGCTGCAAACTGTGAGCAGGAACTGCGGCATGATCTCCCACACTATATCACCGAATGCTCAGTTACTAGACCATTCAGACCCGTTAGCGTGAGGTACCTAGAGCTTTGTAATTACTTTATTCACTCTCGTGTTCTTGAAGATATCCTCATACTGCACCCAAAATTTGTTAATGCAGGGTACTGTACACATGGCTCTGTATGACTAACCATCCTGCGAGATGGGGACTTTTAGTATCACTGCTACCTTATTCACTCTTGTGTTGATGATATCCTCATAATGCATCCAGAGTCTGCCAGTGCAGACTACTTATCACATGCCTCTGTATGACTAACCATGCTGTGTGATGGGAATGTTTAGCATCACGTAGCTAGTTTTGACACACACTGTACTCCCCTTCATATAGTCTAAAGTAGCTGCACAAATGCAGA